ATGCAAGTTCTTTACTAAACAAGTTCGGTCTAAATGAGTGCAAATCTGTGATCACACCACTTGTGGCGACTGAGAAATTAACCAAAGATGATGGAAGTGGAGCAGTAAGTGAAGAATTATACAGAAGCATTGTGGGAAGTCTTCTATATCTTACTGCTACTAGGCCGGACATTATGTATGCATCTAGTCTACTTGCTATATTTATGCATTGTCCTACTAGCAAGCATTTTGGAACTGCCAAACGTGTGCTCAGATACATCAAAGGGATTCTAGACTATGGTTTGGAGTATACAAAAGGCAAGAAGGCAATGTTGATTGGCTATTGCGACAGTGTCTGGGGTGGATCACCAGATGATAGCAAAAGTACATCCGGTTATGCATTTTCTTTTGGAAGTGGAGTTTTTTCTTAGGCTTCAGTTAAACAAAGCTGCGTGGCATTATCCACTGCAGAAGCAGAGTACATAAGTGCATCAAATGCCACTGCACAAGCAATCTGGCTCAGATTTGTATTGGAAGATTTTGAAGAACTTCAAACTGAAGCAACTCCATTGCAATGTGACAACACCTCTGCAATTGCAATCACCAAGAATTCTGTGTTTCACCAGAAGACTAAACACATAGATAGAAGGTATCACTTCATTAAAGATGCAATGCAGGAAGGAATCATTGATTTAGTGTACTGTCCCACTGAAGAGCAGTTAGCAGATATTTTCACAAAACCTTTGGCTAAGGATCGGTTCAACTATCTCAGAAATATGCTTGGAGTAAAATCAGATCAAGACTTAAAGGGGAGTGTTGAATTATAAGTCTATAGCTGATTAGTATTAATGAAATAAGATGAGTTTATTTGTGTATTCACTTGAGCATATCTACCCAAGTGTAAAGTCAAAAGATGTAAGGCCATGAGTGCCATGTGTGATAATCCTAGTTGTTAGGTAATGAATGGCTGAGATCAATTTTTCTGATGAGTTGATCCAGCTCAGCTCTTGTTAGCTGTAATATCTCTCCCTGCACGTTGTGTGAGTGAGTGAGAGAAGCATTAATGAAATAGAATATCCCTCTGAATTTTGCAGAGAGGAAGAGCAACCATTCTTTTCTCATCGTCTCTGTGCATTCATCTTCCTTCCTCCTTTGCTAATCAGAAATATCAAACACTAACAAATTTGTGGGGCCCATGCAAAAATATGGTCTCAGTATCAGCTCCGTCTATCTTTTAATTCTCCTCCAAGCATCACTATAAGTTCTCAAATCAAAATCTACTTATTTAGTTACCCACATGATCACTTAATAAGTTTATCGGCAACACTTTGTCCCTCTATTTATTTCATGACAATTAGACGACTAAAGAGTCCACTGGACTCTCCTTGCATGGATAATCCTTGAAGGCCACTAAACAATTAGTTGGATCGGAATCTTCTGATTATGAGACCTTCTTACAGGTCCCACAATGTAGTCCTTTTTCCTTTAACGAAGTGTATTTGCGTGTTAAGCACATAGCACCTATTTCTTTTGTTAACTCATTAATGCGACAAAAGAAGCAATAGTATTGAATCAAATAATTTGATGCGACAATAGAAGTAATAGTATTTGAATCAAATAATTTAAACAGACAAAGTAGACAATTATTTGATCAGTAAACATTAGCTTCTTCCCTTTAGTAGGAAAAGAGATTCTTACCAAAATAAAACTAGAACACCGTACAAAAAGACAATAGACTAATAGTTCCACAGCCAACACACTGACAACTTATAAACAAATTCAATCAACAAAAACCATATAAACAAAATTATAGACTTCTTATATTGCTATATTTCGGGCAGGGTTCCAATCTTGGAAAAAGAAACATGATATATATTTTTTCAATGTCAGTTCTTCAACAATAATTTCGGTTTTAATTTTGAAGAAAAAAGTTTGAATGAGACTCAGGTGTATCAGTGTATCTGGACACCAGAAAGAAACAAAATATGGCAGCAATGCTTGATGGTACCTTATCCTATATAGCAGTAGATGTGGGAAAAAGAAACATGATATATATTTTTTCAATGCCAGTTCTTCAACAATAATTTCCGTTTTAGTTTTGAAGAAAACACTTTGAACGCGACTCAGGTGTATCAGTATATCTGGAAACCAGAAAGAAACAAAATATGGCAGCAATGCTTGATAGTACCTTATCCAATATTGCAGTAGATTTGGGAAAGCAGACCAATGATTGCACCAGTGGTACTGAGGAGTCAGAAATCCCGATTTGCAGTTCATTTCCTTCATAAACTTGGCATACAGATTCTATCAAAGTATCATTAGATTTAGATGGTTCGTGATCAATGCTGCTACCAAAGTAAATTGCTTGTTCACTATTGTTAGTGCTGTGTTCAATGGCATTGGGCTGCTCTGATGCACTTGTGCAATTCAAAATTGCATTCCCTACTGCATCACAAATATATTTGTCATCCGAAGAAGCATCTATCTTGCAGTGAGTAGCTCCATCCTGATTAGTACCAGACTTCTCTAATTCGTCAGAGGTGGATGCCAAGCCATCTTTTTTCCAAGGACATTCAGATGGTTTACCGTTCATCTCCGTAGCTGATAACTCAGCTGTTTTCATAAAAGAGTCCTTAATATCTACAACTTCCATAGGATCATCAGTTCCTTCCACACTTCCATCAGTTATTGTATGTTCACTATCATGTTGATCTGAATCAATTATGTCAAACAAGCGACCCTCCAGGTCCTGTTCACTAAGAGGTGAATCTATGTTCATTTCTTGATGAGAATCGGAAGCAGGAATTTCTGAACTAAATCCCATGTATGGTTTATCAGGTGCAGCATCACCTTTGGATTGATCATTAGGTTCAGCAGTTGAGGTTTCTATGATAGAGTTTTGAGCAATTTCAATCAGAGCATCCATTTTTGAGATCCTTGATGGCAAACCTTCGCTGTTTGGAGACTCTATTCTCTTTTGAAGTGTTGATGGACCAGGCGATTCTTCCACCCTCCTGACATAATTTCGAACATGAATCCCTACATGACCATTGTAGCGACGCCTTTCCAAAAATACCTTATGGCAAAACTGGCATTCATATTTCCCATCTTTAATTATCACACCATCACCAACAGTAGAACCAAGTCTATACCTCCTTGTAGTCCTCTGGTGAAAAGACAATAGATGCTGCAAATATGAATCCTTCTCATTAAAAGTCATATTGCATTTGTGACATTCAAAAAGGTCATGTATCTGAACCTCAGCAAGATTGTCTACTCCCAATAAGGTAACTTCCTTTTCACGCCCATTAGATATAGAAGACACAACTAGAGCAGCGCTGGAATTCACGTCTTGCCTACGGTCTCCATCCTTATCAGCATGCTGCTGCACCCCAAACAAAATTTGAAAAGGATTTATTATCGAAGGTACAATAAACCAAACAGCTGCAATAATATATAACTTACATTTTCAGTAGCCACTATGCACCCTTCCAGAACATTCTCACGCCCATGACCACCATCTGGCTGTCGTGCATTATTGTGATCAGAGAAGGAGTGCAGAAATGAAGAAACTTCCTTGCAGGTCAGAAATTGTTCTCCAGTAGGGCTGGAAAGTATCAAGCAACTTGTAATGATGAGAAACACAAGCGAGAGAGGTGACTCCAAAATACAGGATACAAAGTAGAGGAATACTGAAATGAAAATATAAATAACCACAAGGCACGAGTTAACTAGTTATACATTTTGTTCAGGTTATACTATTTTCATCATTACCAAACTATAGCAATAACTGTGTTTGTGTCTCCAGTAATTCGTTTGTAAGAGGGGTGAAAACCAGTACAGAATCCTAATTTGATCATCATTACTCAAGGATGATCTGCTAAGATAATCTATGTTACCATACAAAAGAAGCATTCTCATGGAAATGATACAAAAAAAAAATAAGTAAATAAACTTTGAATTCCGGGCACCCCTAACGATGCATGCATACAAAGTTCTAACAATCGGGAGTTCAATGATCAACAGAAATGTCATGGCAAAGTAAATGTCGAGCAATAGAATATTAAACTATCTTCAAATAATAACTAATTAGACCTCAATGATGCAAAGCCAAATACAAGTGACTGAACTGAAGAAAAAAAGAGCTTCCAAGCAAGTAAAACCTTATGTATCGGCGGCAGTAAATCCAAGCACGTCCTTCCTTCCTCTTAAGGCCCAGCAAGAGCTTCCAACCGACCGGCAAGGCATCCCCGAACTCACTGGCATCAACAATCTTCCTCTTCTTCCTCCTACTCCCCCACTGCCCACCCAAGTCCCTCATAAACCCCAACAACTGCTCCTCCGTTTCCAAACCCACCGTCCTCCGCCTCAATTCCTCCCCAAAAGGCTCTTCTGCATTCTCCAAACCCGAAATGTCCACCGCGGCGCCCTCCTTATTCACCATCCCCATACCCGCATATCCCTCATTCTCCAAACCCAAGACTTTCACTTTGGGCTTCCTCCCTCGCTTCCTTTTCTTCACCCCCATTTCACCTCTCCCCTCCAAACCTACGATTCCACTCCCCATGTTGGGATTAGGGCTGAGCACCCTGGAAAACAACGCCGTCTGGGCGGGCTCGAAGTCGATTTGGCCGAATTTGGGGTCCTGGGAAATGAGGTTCTTGAGGTGAGCGATGATCGCATGGTTCTCGTTGCGTTCGGGGTCATCCGGTGGCACTGGAGTGAGCTTAGGAGGGGTGGCAAGCAGGCCGGCAACGCGACGACGGTGGCCAGTGGCGGCGGCGGCAGTGGAGGTATCAGACTGTTGACGGCGGGGACGAGAGTACGTTTGGCGGCGGGAACCAGCGCTCTCGTTGAAGACAGATCGGTCAATTTTGGGGACGATGAGGTCTTGGGTGCGGCAGAGGTTTAAGGCCGAGGAGGAGGAAGAGGAGAAGAGGGAGAGCGCTTGGAGCTCCGATTGAGAGAGTGTGCTGATGTCTATGTGGGTTAAGGAGTCTAAGGGAATGTTTGCTTCTTGTGGCGATTGTGGCCGCGGGACGGTGGCTGTTGTCGCCATTTGGAGTGGCGCTGCTTGACAGAGTGTCTGTGAGACTGTAACAGTGTGAGGAAAATGGCGTGGGACTGTGGAGAGGTTTCGTTGTGGTAAAAAGGTAAAAGCACCCATCAATGTTACTATCCCCATCAAAAAAAGTTTGTCCTCTATCCCATTTTACCCTAAAAGCATGTTAGCTGGACCAACTTTCAATAATAATAAATAACCACATTAACCAATACTTATCTATATATATAAAGTGAGAGCCCCAGTTTGGTGAAACATTCCAAAATGCCTAAAATGCCCTCACTTAGTACCCAAAAAACCAAAAAATAACTGTCTTGAAAATAGGGTTAAAAACGTAATAAAACTGAATTCTCAACAACATTAATTCACAACCAGTGGATAAGATACTCACACTTTAAGTTCATTCTCAGCCTTTGGATCACATCCTGTCTGAAGAAGCACTCAAAGGTAAGACGGAAACCATCTATCGCACGATCAGAGCAACAACTGCAGCGGTTGATGGACCCGACATGGAACAGCCATGTATCGCACGTTCTCGATCCCCACAAAGCATACAAAAGGGAAAATTGGATGATTTCTTCATCTGAAACTGGCAATCCTGAAAATAAATGTGCAGACGATGCGCTGAGGAAGAATGCGCCCTCATTCTTTTAGACTAAAAACCCAGAAATCCTAACTTTCAAGGACGATCCGGTAAGAATTTTCTCTAATACTCACTCTCATATTTTCTGTGCTTTCCTTGGGTTTTTGCGTTTGTTCAAGTTTTTGATGGGTTTTAAGTTTATTGTAGTCAATTTCGGGTTTTGTGGAGTCGGAAAATTGAAGAGTAAGAAGCAGAGGAGGAGATCGGTGAAGAAAAATGGAGCGAAAGTAAAGGGAAAAAATGTGAGTTATTCTTTATTATTCTCTTTTTCCAAAACGTAATTTTTGGATATTGTATATACTGGGAAATTGGGTTACTGAGTAGCAAATAAATTTGATTGTTTTGTGGTTTTTGAGTAGTTGCAGGAAATAAATTTAATTATATTCTATCTACTGGAAGGTTGGAAGAACTGATATGCTTATGTATATGTACACATATGTTCTGATTCCTGTTAAACTTTGTATTATTTTTGTGTTTGTCATTGCCAGGTAGCTTTGAAAACATTAGATAAATTGGATAATTTTCTCGAACAATATTATCCTTATCCTGACCAGATTCTTGAGATGGGTTTTCGCTAGACAATTTCACTTTCTACTTCAATCTAGGTACTCTATGCTTAATTAAATTGTTCATCACGACCTTAGTTTCATATATACTAATTTGGAGTATTGAACTCGATTGTCATTTGAACCATTCGAAATTATTTAGATTTACCAGATTTTTTAAATGGGTTTTGGACCAATTGTAGAAAGCTCTCTGTTTTGCGTATTGGTTATTTAGTTTCTGGCTTAATTTTTGCTTTTGTGGAATGCCAAAGACATTTAAGCAGTTACTGAATTACCAATTGTTGTTTCTGTTTTACTAATGCTTTAGGGTAATGTGTGAATTAAATTCTGTTATTTAAACTAATATGTGTTCATTACTTTTGTGTTGTGTACAGACCCCGCTTCTGTATGATTTCTTCATCTGAAACTTGCAATCCGAAAAATAAACGTTAGGATTTACACAAATCCTCGAGTATTTCTTCAACTATTTACTTCTCTGTCATTAGGTACCTTCCATCTCTCTCTCTCTCTCTCTCTCTCTCTCTCTCTCTCAAATGGGTGAATGAGGAAGAACTCGCACACACTCTGTCAAATTTTTTGTATTTAGAACAAAAACTCTGAAATCGTTAACCTTGAAGAACCATTTGGTAAGCATTTTTCCCGCTACTCTATGTCAATTTTTTTGTATTTTTCTTGGTTTTTGTGGGTCTATTCAAGTTCTTGACGGACCAGAAGTTTCTGCTAAATGACTATCTGGTTTCCATGTTTGATGCCGTTTGGTTCCGACTGTTTTGTTTTCTTCTTCTTTCCTGTTTGGTCTGAATTGTGTTTTCGGATAGTCTAACAAATATTTTTTGGTTAATTTTGAAGTTTTTTATATTTTGAGCCGAGCCCTGGTTTCATAACTGTATGATTTCTTCATCTGAAACTTGCAATCCGAAAAATAAACGTTAGGATTTACACAAATCCTCGAGTATTTCTTCAACTATTTACTTCTCTGTCATTAGGTACCTTCCATCTCTCTCTCTCTCTCTCTCTCTCTCTCTCTCTCTCTCTCTCTCTCAAATGGGTGAATGAGGAAGAACTCGCACACACTCTGTCAAATTTTTTGTATTTAGAACAAAAACTCTGAAATCGTTAACCTTGAAGAACCATTTGGTAAGCATTTTTCCCGCTACTCTATGTCAATTTTTTTGTATTTTTCTTGGTTTTTGTGGGTCTATTCAAGTTCTTGACGGACCAGAAGTTTCTGCTAAATGACTATCTGGTTTCCATGTTTGATGCCGTTTGGTTCCAACTGTTTTGTTTTCTTCTTCTTTCCTGTTTGGTCTGAATTGTGTTTTCGGATAGTCTAACAAATATTTTTTGGTTAATTTTGAAGTTTTTTATATTTTGAGCCGAGCCCTGGTTTCAGATGATTTATCGGATTAAAGTTTAGTGTGAGTGGTTTTACAGCGATTCCTTGGTGGTTAATTTCTTGGTTTTGGATTAAAAGTTTTCTGCAAGTGGTTTTGAATTAAAAGTTTTCTGAACGTAATTTCTTGGCAGGTTTTGTGTTTACTGTAATGAATTGTGGGTGATTATGTTAGTGGCGTTTGTATTTGAGCTTGGGCTTGATGGGGTTTGTTCGTCATGATTGGTTGTTAGTTATGATTTATTGATACGTAGGAGTTTTACAGGTAGGTTGGTTTTTGTATACCTCTGTGCCGAAAAAAATATGTATATGTTGTTTGCTGCAAATGAATTGATTTCATTGCATTTCAGGCTTCATGACTTGAAGCAACTTGGTCAATTCTATGTTCTTCGTTTGATTATAGTATATTCTTTTACACTAACCAACTCAACATACAGGTCTACAAAAATAGAGCAAATTATAGTTTAAATCAACTCATCTTTAACAGATTTTGGTAAAATAAAGTGTTCAAAGAGAATCCAATATGTATTGAGCTGTATTTTGTGGTATTGTGAGGATAAGATGATATATATGCCTCCGTTGTTGTCAACAGGAAACTGAGATTGTATGATGCGCTTGAAGACGCGAACATAAATGCAACAGAAAGAAGAAGGACAAATAAAGAATAGAGGGTAAATACATTAGTTCCCTTCGGTACTGTTAGTTGGTACTTTTCTCCTATTTTTTTTGTTTTTTATTTTTTTTTATGGACGAATACATATTCATTATTCCTATATACAATCAGAATAACTATGTATTTCGTGTATCACCATTCTCTTTGCTTGAAATCTTATTTGGATGCTCCTGCTTATGTACCAAGTTCTTTCTTATACGATGAATGATTTCCTAGCCTATTTTGTGTTTTATTGCACTCTAGCGTTAGGTGTAAGAAAACACACAACTTCTTTTTTTCTTTCCACCTCAAGTGACAAATTTGTGAACAACCATTAATTGAAAAAAAAAAAAAAAAAAAAAAAGCTGTTTTCATGGCCTGACCTTAAATGAATTTGTATTAAATTAAAAACCAAAATTTGTACACGACTTAAACTGGCACAAATTCAGCATTTGTACTTGGCTTCAATAACCTACTTTGGCCTAATTTTTAAGAGATACCCCGTGTTTTTACAAATGCAAAACATCTTAAAGCAAAACCATTTTTAGGGGCGCGTACCAAACATCTTAACAATAGATAAGATCCCAAAATATCTTAACGCAAAAATTTGGTATGGAAACCATCTTTAAGATATTTTTAAGATGTTTTGTGTAAAAATTTGGTACGGAAACCATTTTTGCGTTAATTTATCTTAACACGTACCATGTTTTAGGAATTTAAGATGTTTTGCGTTAAGATATGTAAAAACCAACCGTAAATATTTTGGCACAAATTTAACACAATCAGTACCTCCCAAATTACCAACATTGACCTCCCCAAGTCACATGCTTAATCAAATCCAAACAAATCCTAACCCCAAAAAATGAAATAATTAAAGCATCACGTCTTTCACATTTCCATTCAAGTCTTAACATCAACCGGCAAGTGTATATAGGCCCATCATTTCCTTGCACGGATAATTATTACACTTCAAAAATATTTTGTCATCATTTTATTTTGTTCTTTTGTATTATAGTGTTGTGTACATAAAGCTTTTGTTTTCATCTGTTCGTAGGCATCTGTATACACCTTTTCGTATTTGTGGAATGTCACAAAATTTGTATTCTATTTAGGTTCATTATGTTTATTAATTTTTTAGATAAATTTTTCCATGGAGTGTGCTCAAAGTCGTACAAGACAGTGGCGTCAATCATTGAGTCCTGAAGAACATCAAAGATATCTAGCTCGACGACGTCTAATAGCACAAGAAAAAAGACAACAAATTCCAACTCCAAGTGATGATCATACTATGACATCCCCCAGTAACATACAGCAAGAAATTCCTGGTATTTATTTCATATTCTTTTTTCTTAAACTCATAATTAAAAAAAATTTAAAAATCTAATTTCTATTTTTTTTAAACTATGCAACAAGTAGGTCCCAGTAATATACAAGAACGAGTTGATTTGGCTAACTATGATGTTGAGGTCAACCCCAGTAATATACAACAACAAATTCCAGGTATTTATTTAAATTTCTTTATTTGTATTTGTTTCACACTTTAAAAATTAGGTAATTTTTAGAACACTATTTTGTGCATTGAAATCTCATTTTATTCTTTTGTTCGTACTCTCATATTGATCTCAATGTTGTAGTTATTTTTATTGGTAGTCTTACAAAATATTAGACCACAACTAAATATATTAAATATTAAACATTAAATTTTTACCTAATCATATTATAATGTGGTGTATTTATTAGAACAAATTGAGCATGAAAGCGCGAGTTCAAGGGTTTTGTCAGATATCACAAATCGTGATGACCAAACTTCTGCTACAATGCGTACTCATATAGGATCATTGACACATTCGAATAGGTCACAAATATATGATGGGATGCTCTCAACTCTTCCCCATAATGGTGAGCTTAGTATATAATTCTATCTATATATAAAACATATATTATTAGTTACAAAGGAAATTCTTATAATGAGTGTTGGATATTCATGTACAAATATCAGAAGAAGAACATGCAACTAGAACCAATCGTCATGTGCGGCAAAGTAGAGGAAGAAGAAACCACAATTGTGCTAGAAATTATAATGAGAATCGAGGTATCCTAGGTTGCCGCTTACCTGCTCCAACCACATGTTCGTACTGCTACGCACGATTGTTTACTCGAGAAACTTTGAATATGTGTTGCTTGAAAGGAAGAGTTGCTTTACCCCCAATACAATCTCCACCAGAAATGGTTGCTCTTTTCTCTGACCAAACAAATGAGGGTAGACACTTCAGGCAAAATATTCGAGCTTACAATCACGCATTTTCATTCACTTCAATGGGAGTACACGTGGATGAAAGAATAAATATTAGTGGCCGTGGGATTTACACATTTCGTGCTCAAGGTGCATTATATCATAAGATTGGTGGACTTTTACCACATGAAGGAAACAGACCGCGATTTTTACAAGCCTATATATATGACACTGAGCATGAAGTTGAAAACCAAATGTGTGAAAGTGAAGTTTTAGATAGACGTGTGGTTGAAAAGATACAACAGATGTTGAACAACCATAATCCTTTTGTTCATACATTGCGAAGCCTCGGACAACGCCAAGATTTGCCGAATTGCAAGTTGATCCTAAAAGAGCAACCAATAGATCGACGTCAGTATAGTCTACCATCAGCATCACAAGTTGCAGCAATTATAATAGATGGAGATGATGCCACCATTGCAAATGGAAGGGATATCGTGGTCGAGACAATTAGTGGAAGACTTTCTCACGTCCGAGACTATGTCGGATTTTATGATCCGTTACAGTATCCACTATTGCTACCTTACGGTACATATGGTTGGGATGTTAATAGTCGCGATGATGGTGGAAGAGCAATAACATGTTGCGACTATTATGCTTATATGTTACAGGTTTGTACCAATAACATAATTTACTTCCCAATATATATAAATGAATGATGATTCCCATATTAAAAGCAATATATGAAATTTGCTTCTGCAGATACGCCATAATGGATCATCACTTTTGCTTCGAGGTGGACGTCTCTTGCAACAATATGCTGTAGATAACTACATTAAAATTGAATCACAAAAACTTCGATGGCTGCGTTCTAATCAAGCCACAGTTAGAGCAGATCTCTATAAAGGACTTCAAGACTCTTTAAATGCAGGTCAACACAATGCAGGTATATATATCATTTCAGTTATCGTTATTTAAAAATATAACTTTGTTCAAAATCTGTACAATATATATAGTTAATTGAAAATAAAAAATTAACAGGGAGCATTGGGCGTAGAATTATTTTACCATCATCATTTGTTGGAAGCCCACGTGACATGTACCAACGATATCAAGATGCAATGACTCTGGTTCAAAGATTCGGAAAGCCAGATCTTTTTATTACCATGACATGTAACCCAAGTTGGGAAGAAATCAAAAGTGAATTACTCGCTGGACAAACTCCACAAGATCGTCCTGACTTACTCACTAGAGTATTTCGTGCAAAACTTGAGCAACTAAAAGAAGACATCATTGAAAATGGGGTATTGGGCAGTGTTGTTGCGTACGCATACGTTATTGAGTTTCAGAAACGTGGTCTTCCACATGTGCATATGCTGGTGGTGTTAGATGAAAATGATAAGATCAATAACCCAGATGAGTATGACCGAATTGTTAGAGCTGAAATACCAAACGAAGACGTAGAGCCTCAACTTTACAATGTGGTGTTAAAGCATATGATTCATGGCCCATGTGGGATTCATAATCCTCAATCTCCATGTATGAAAAATGGGAGCTGTAAGAGAAAGTATCCCAAACCATTTGCACCAGTCACTGTTCAAGGAAATGATTCGTATCCAATTTATCAAAGGCGAGGAAATCGATTGCCCGTTTCTCTTGATCGACAAGGAAACATAATGGTTGATAATAGTTGGGTCATTCCATATAATCCATGGTTGCTGTTAAGGTATGATTGTCACATCAATGTTGAAATTTGTGCAAGCATAAAAAGTGTCAAGTACTTATATAAGTATGTTTACAAAGGCCCAGATAGAGTGACAGTCGAAGTGCAATCAGACCTTGAATACGATGAAATAAAGCAGTTTCAGGATGCAAGATGGGTTTGCGCACCAGAGGCATTATGGAAGATATTCAAGTTCATTATTAATCGAATTTACCCATCTGTTGAGCGATTGCAAATACATCTTCCTAATATGCACCAAGTTCAGTTTCGTGCCGATGAGAGCATAATAAATATTCTACATGATGAGAGTACAAGAAAGACAATGTTAACTGAATTTTTTACACTTAATCATGTGGATGCAGAAGCGCGACGGTACTTATACATGGAAATCCCATCACATTACAGATGGATTCAAGCTCAAAGAAAGTGGTCTAAAAGAATGAATCGTAACAAGGTTATTGGGCGAATATATGCAGTTTCACCTGCTGAAGGTGAAAAATTTTACCTTCGAATTCTTCTTAATCATGTTAGAGGACCAACATCCTTCACAAACTTGAGAACGATTAATGGGGTTTTGCATCCAACATTTAAACAGGCAGCAGAACAACAAGGTTTATTAGAAAGAGATGACAGTATTCGACAATGTTTGCTAGAGGCCTCCACAATTCAAATGCCATCGGCTTTACGAAGATTATTCGTCACCATATTGGTATATTGTGCACCAATTGGTGTTCGAGGGTTATGGGATGAGTTCTATCCATTCATGATAGAAGATTATGTTACCATGACTAACATGACTCCCACACTTGCTACCAACAGACTCTTGCGTGAGTTGAACATACTTTTGGTTCAATTTAATAAGAGTATAAACGAGTTTGATTTCCCCCAAATGACAAGAGGAAATGAATCAAGTTCAGGAATGACAAGATGTATTGAAGATGAGATATCCATAGGTATTCCACAACAAGATCTTGATGCAATTGAACGCTTAAATGATGACCAAAGAAATGCGTTTAACATAATAATGGGTGCGGTTCAACGATCAGAGAATGCAACTTTTTTTGTGGATGGTCCCGGTGGAACTGGAAAAACTTACTTATATCGCGCATTGTTAGCAAGCTTGAGAAGGTTGGGGCACATAGTATTAGCAACAACATCATCTGGAATAGCAGCTACGATATTGCCTGGTGGGAGGACAACACATTCTAAATTCAAGATACCACTTAGTCTCGATGCATCATCGATGTGTCGATTGGTAAGCAATCTGATTTAGCAAAGCTAATACAAAAGGCAAAGGCAATTATCTGGGATGAAGCAACAATGACGCATCGTCATGCATTTGAAGCACTCGATCGAACATTCAGAGACCTAACGGATATTGACTTACCATTTGGGGGAAAAATAATGATATTTGGGGGAGATTTTCGACAAGTTCTTCCTGTTATCCGGAAAGGAACCAAGTCCGAACTAATCCAAGCAAGTGTTGTTAAGGCATCATTTTGGTCAGAGGTAAACATTTTAAAACTCAAACAAAACATGAGATCCATAAATGATCGTGAATTTTCAGAATTTTTACTTCGTGTTGGTGATGGGAATGAAGATGTTATTATGGATGATATGGTAAAACTACCTGAATGCATGGTGATAGCATGGGAGAGTGAGCATTCCATTAATCAATTAATTGCCAAAATCTTCCCTAACTTAGAGGATCATATGAATGATGCAACCTACATGGTGGAAAGGGCAGTGGTAACTCCTACAAATGAAGACGTTGATATGTTAAATGAAAAGATAATCAATATGTTTCCAGGTTTAGAAGAGACAATGTATTCATTTGATTCAGTTGAGGATGATGAAAGGAATTTGTATCAGCCAGAGTTCTTGAATTCAATCTCACTTGGTGGTGCCTCCGCACAAGTTAACTCTAAAAAGAGGTGCTCCAATCATGCTTTTAAGGAATATCGATCCAAAATTGGGATTGTGTAATGGTACAAGATTATTGTGTCGTGGTTCTTACCGAAATCTTATTGATGCTGAAATTCTAACTGGACAATTTGCCGGATCCAGAGTTTTTTACCAAGAATCCCTCTTAAAACTACTGATATTGCTGGGCTTCCATTTGAACTTACAAGAAAGCAGTTTCCAGTGAAACTAAGTTTCTCTATCACTATAAACAAATCTCAAGGTCAGACAATACCACATGTAGGCGTTTACCTTCCAGATCACGTCTTCAGTCATGGACAATTATATGTGGCTTTATCGAGGGGGGTCTCAAAGTCAACCACAACTGTGTTAGTAAAAAATGGCTCCATAGTCGGCCAACAAGGTGTATTTACACTGAATGTAGTATACAAAGAAGTCTTGCTTCATTCCAGCTAATTATGGTGATTCCTAATAGGTAACAACTTTATTAACGATAATCTTTCAATATGCATTTCTCACTTATCATTTAACTCTTTTTATTTGATTTTTAATTTTCTCACTATTGTTTGTAGATTGGCAATGAAAATTTGAAGTGTCAATCAGGAACGAATGGATGGAAATTGCAGCATTGATGTCAATTTTCTTTTCAAAAGAAACAATGGCATATAGACTTTATGGGTATTGTGAAAAATGTACATATTGTGATGTCGGTTTTATATTTTGACATTTAAGTTGTTTTGTATTTTGCTACGAGTACTTAATGTTTTCATCTACTTTTTTTTTATTCACATCTACTTACTATTGTTTATGAACACAAGGTAGGAACTTGCTTCCAGATGATGTTGCTTCATTACTGTAGGCAAAGTGAAAACAAAAAATATGACAATTTTTTAAGACGTGCATGATAAAGATAAAGTTCCTCTTTGCTCAATACATCTAAAATATATCTTGACAATCACAATGAAAAAGACTAACCCAATACACCTTTAGGGGCGCGTAGCGCCCGTGATGCAAAAATGCCTCTCGCACGCACGTTAGTGCGTGCGGAGAGGCTATAATAATTTAATCATCAACAATTGTATCATATAGTTTATAAAATGAAAAATGTTGAGGGTACTCTCTCAAAAGTAAAGCTCTCCTGTGTACTCTGTCATCTTAATTCATGTGCTAACATTATAAAATATTGTGTTAAAAACATAACATAACAAAAAACTCGAAGAGAGTCCTACTTTTGAGAGAGTTGTCACATCCCCGCTCGGGCCCCCACCACATCCTGAGAACTCACACGAGAACTTCCCAGTGGGTCACCATCATGGGATTGATCACTCGCTTAACTTCGAAATTCCGATGGAACCCGAAACCAGTGAGCTCCCAAAAGGCCTTGTATTAGGTAGAGATGGGAATATACATATAAGACTTACAGGATCCACTCTCTTGGGTGATGTGGGATGTTACAGAGTTCTCTTAGCATTTCTCTTATAAAATATGATTTAAATATGTGATCACTCTAACATTACTCTTGTTTCAATAAGAGGCTTTTATATATAGCTGTTTGATAACACTTTCATTTTCATTTTTTCACCTTTTTTTTAAATTGA